CAGCGGAGTTCGATGCGACGGTATACTGTCTGAGTGCATACTTTGCGGTATACTCGTATTAACCTTATTATACATCTTTTCCTCTCAAGGATATATCATGGGAGTGCCGAAATCCAAAAAGTTTAGAACAGATTTAGGAAAGATTTAGATCTTTTTGTGGAGTCCGGTCAAACCTTGGAGGCTGCCATGCTCACTCACGTAATCGCTTCATATTTGGAATTCTCATTTCCTAATATGGTAGGATGAAAAAAACCCAGTGCAATACAGCAAAATTATGGCACGCTGTAACTTATGGCGTTATGGTGACAGATGTATAATAATATCAATTATCTGTCTCAACATTTCATTCCCGGTGTTATGGACATAATAATTTATGAACACAATCGTATAATAAGGGGATTTTCAGAAGTCAAAATTGTGTGAAGCACAATTTATAGTCCATTTTCGAAGAAAACCACGAAATTGTCAACCTGTGTTATTGGACAACAATTTGTTATGTACAATTGTAACGATTCATGTGAAGACATTTCAATATTGGACATTTTTGTTGGCTTGAGTAATATTTTCTTAGAACAGGAAGTTGTGTGCATGTGCTTAAGGAAATGAATCAGTTTCTTATCCCTCTTCTGAAGTGTAGATGTTTACACATAAAAATGGTGACGTATGTACATTTCGTATAGATTATTATTATTTTATAACAAAAGTCTTGTGCCAGACGACAGTTTCCAACATTGGTAATTCCTTTCTGCTTTAAGTGCAAATTGCAATTAGCTTAATATTATATTTTGCCGCAGAAATTATTTTCTGTGTTTCGGACTAGGTGATAAGGTTGTGTGGTCATGTAATGTCAATTTATCGGGCCGTGGACATTTGTGGAACCCGATATTTTAAACTTTCGACGAAAATCATCAACCAGGCGCAGTCGCAAATAAACACTTTTGGACCTTGACAAGGCTTCCAACAAAGTCGAATCCGTCATCTCTTTTGGTGGATGTGGTCTCCCATGCTTGTAGCATAACCACCCGGTGTAAGGGTCGACCTCGTTTTAAATGTGGGACTCGTACCTGGGATTCGCTGGCCATAGCCTGTGGAGCGGAATGTCGTTCCACTAGACTTACTCCTAGAATTTGACGAAAAATTAAGTTTCGTGCGCGGAAAAAAGGCACAAGTAATAATGACACAGTGTATTGCGCCGAACACGAGCCTACAAAAAAAAAAACGTGGACTGTGTTTCCTTTAGGCAATCATGATGTATCAGACACTGTGGTATATTAGACACTCCTAATATACTTTATCATGGTTACAAACATGGTAGATGGAACTTCTGGACCACGTTCAACAAAGCCACAAAGTCATTGCAATCATGTTGATGCTTGAACTGAAATATTAAAGCGGAAGGGTCATCACCTGCGCACGCGCGGGAATTGAGTTCCAAGCGACGATAGCAACGCATGCGAAAAAAAAACGCAAAGGCTTATGGGTAGACGCTTGTTTGTAAACAACGACACGCCATGGCCGTCTGACGCATGCGCAGCTGACGACTCCCCCGCTTTAACTTTATTTCTGTTGGATCTGTTCAACAGTTTTGGAATCCGTTGTCTTTCAAGGCCTTGGTTTCTGTTACAAGTAGTAAACAGCAACAACATCAACAAATGTATGTAACAAGTATTCTGACATACCATAGACATGTCTGGGATATGAATTCGTTATTACTGCGTCGACCACTGCCTAGGACACCGATCATATTTAACCTACATTTCATCAAAGCCGCACCAGTGGATGAATCTAGGATATTGTATTTGGCTTCCCATCGAGTCTGTGGCATACACATATATGGTAGAGGTCGGCTAATTTTCTTTAGTTCAACCTTTGTTTCGCAAATAGATGCATTTCATTTTTAACATTGTTTTTAAAAAATATTAGAAATTCCAGGATTGTTTTAAATTTCATCACATCACAGTTGACGACAACGACAAAGAAAAAAATCGCGAGGAAATGGATTACCCAGTGCGTTCAGAACGATTTACAATGAACGTATTTTTGTCAAAACGAACGTGTTTGGCGGAGTTTATAAGGATGTGGTTGTCGCGGCCGACTGCGTTTGAATTGTGTGGAAAATCGGAAACAAAGCATTGTCCCATGGTACGTTGCTATACATAGCATGGGACCCATACCGGACAGTTTTACATACAAATAAGCGTCCTAAAATATATTAGTAGTGTTACTATTATAAGAACGCTCACTAATAGCCCATCTTGTAACTAAAGTAGACGTAGATACCCTTAAAAACGTTTTCTATGGTTTCCTATAGGACAGGAATTTGATTTATATTAATATTTACAGTTTTAGTCCTATAGGCATTTTATAAAATTTTGTGTCAAACTATTATAGGTATTACAGGAACCTGTTCTATAGAAATTCTATAAGGATTTTGTGTCGAAATATTATACGAATCCTACATGAATGTGTACTAGAAATCAAAGGACCTCAATTAATTCAAAAAGTAAAACTTTAAACAATCTCTGAAATAAAAACAGTTTACTGCCATAGAATAAAATGATGTAAGAGTACGTGTACAGCATCCAGACAATTATAAAACTAAAAATAATTACTAAAATAATAAAAACAAAAACAAAACACAGAACCCACAATTTGAATTCCTGGGTTCCCAATATGAGAGAGAAACTTCATTTTGCGCCTAAAGTTTCAATTTGTGCAAAATATCTCAAAGTTTTGAAAGTATTCAAGCCCAACATATATTGCTTTCATTAAATGCATATCTCTAAAATTGGCTTTCGAAAATTGAATAAATAATTTACTATGAAAAAATTGGTACTTTTTAAGGGTGCATATTTATTAAATTATTTTGTTTTAACTATAAAACACTGGGTTTTCACCATGCATAATTACATATGCAAAGCCTATCCTTTACCGCAACACTATTTTAAAACTTCAGAAATTAAATTATGAATGATATCATCAGTTTCCAATAGATAATGAGGCCAGTGTAACTGATCTTTAAAGTTTACAGTCACAATACCTTCGTGTTCTTCGTGTTCTGGAGCTAAAAGTCACATTAAAACATGAAAGATGATACTAAAGTCCCTCACTATACAGTTTCATGTCTGTCTTTGTCCAAAGAAATTAAGTAAAATTACATCTGTTTCTTCATATTACAAGATTATTAAGACAGCATGGTCCACACTTTCGGTCGTAAACAATAGGTGACCTATAGTGAATAATGGGTAAATCACTCAGAAGGATTACGTGGTGACATGAAGTTTCGTCTCCCAATAATTTAATAGTTACAATGTTTCTCAATTTTTTTCTATGATGCCAATTGTAGACTGTAATGCGTTACAATACATTCTACAAAGGTGTATTTAAACTAAAGTCTATATAAAAACTATAAACTGTCTGTAGATTTGATAGAGAAGGAACAAAATATACGGTACAGGTCCGAAGGATAGAAAACTATGGTTCTCACAAAACATGTGATAAGTATTATTAATTTTTCAAATCACATTTTATGAAATTTTAACGATTCTACGCATGCAAACATGTAGGTCATAGCCATAGCCATATTTATATACAAATACATCTAGATGAAGTCAACCTACATAAATATGAAGGCCCATAAAAACCCATAGATTATATATGTACACAAAGCTATCGATCGATAGGTTTATATAGAAACATTTGGCTTTATTTAAACTAACCTATATAAACACATATGCAATCCATAGATATACATAATCCGTAGAAATATGAGGAAAACATTAGTTATTTTTGGACCAGTCCTATAGGAATTGTATAGATCTTTAGCACTTATAACCTAACACATCAGTCTCATAAGTCTGGCATAAGAAGTTACTAAGGAATTATTATCTCACGCATTAGGCCTGTAGGACTGGCAATATATAGTAGGGGGCAAGGGGGATAGTTGGTACAGGTTACAGAATATAAAAACAGTATATTACGTTTTTACATGAAATCAAATGAAAGTTTCATTTACAGTAAAAAATAGTTTTTTTTACACTTTACAGATAAAAGAAATTTCTAATTACATTTTACATATATCAAAAATAGATATTACGTAATAATTACGACATTTAATGTGGAAAAAGCTTTATACGCTTACAAAAAATAAGATCTTTGTACACATTACGGACGAATAAAATAGCTGATTACATTTTACACCTTGTCCATTTCTACGATTTTACTTTTTTATTTATTTAAATTACATTATTACGAAAAAAAAACAATTGATTACAGCTTACGAAAATATCCCTTGCCGAGCCTCTATATAATACTTTAGAACTCATTAATTTTGCGTAAAATCATAGAACCACAGATTCAAAAGTTTTTTTTTGAAAGGAAACTTTGGTGAGGGTAGACCATGCTATGAAATGGAAATAATGTTGGTGATACAATTATTAATTGAGGAGCAGTGCGAATGGTATGAACATGTGTGCTGCCTGCAGGCGGATTTAGTAGATTTAATGACAGTATGTGTGTATCGACTTGTGTTAAGGTCACCGAGAAATATATTACCCAATCATTTGAACTGAACCAGTCTGCACTCCTATCAGGTTGTCATTTCACCCGAAACTAGCACTCGTGTTTCTGTCAGGCGAAGTCAAGCTTACTGCTCTAACATATGTCCATAATTGTTGAATAGAATAAATGCTCTCGTAAACAAATATGTATTTTACAAGAGGTCGTGTAAGTCTTATGTCGAATCTTGAATGTACCAATAACATGTTTACTGGTGACCCCAGAAGTATTTAAGATATTTGCTGTAATGGTTCCCATGCTACTTTGCGTATTTTCGAACCAGTCTGGTCACTATACTTCGTGGTGTTTTATTCTGCGTCTTGTTTGATATGGAACCCATGCAACAAGTGTATATTACAATGCTTACTCCTTTTGCCCCCATGCTTGTTTGTTTTTTGCGTCCGAAATATGTCTCCTAATTCTGTCGATTTTTTTATTTTTAGACAAAGACGAATCAGAAGCAAGCAAAGCCAAACTATCCGACAAAAATGCAGTTATTCCACCCAAAATTGTTGTGGATCATAAATCTTCAACGCAAACCGTCCCAAAATTACCAGTGAAACCCACCAAGCAGCCTCCAACCAAATTCAGCTCAATTTCCCCTAAAGACAAAGAAAGACAGCCTACCACCGACCCGTCAATTGAAGCCACAACCCGCATCCCAGCTAAATCCACGTCGACGAAACCCACAACCAACGTATCTACTCAATCCATGACAACACAGCCGACTACCAGCTTCTCAACTCAAGCAACGTCAAAACAACCCACTACCAGATTATCAACCAAATCCCATCAACACAACCAACTGCCAGCTTTTCAATCCAACCCACGTCAACACAAGCCAATGGATCAACAAAACAATCCATCATCATATCTTCAATCCAACCAACCAATCCGACCACTTACAACACAACTTCTTTAGAAAGGTTGACTTTAGAAGCAACTACAACTCCTGAAAATGAGAGTACGCCCTCAGAGATAAAACGAACAGAAACTTCAACACCAGTTACAACAACAACAGACGGTGCAGGACCCCTTTCTGCAAGAACATCTCCCTCATGGTTATCGACAATAACAATTGCGACTCGTCAGAGAACCTCAACACTGGAAGACACGACAAGTGATGATGAAGGTGAAATATAACATGTCTGTGTGTCTGTGTGTGTGTCTGTGTGTCTGGGTATCTGTCTGTGTGTCTGTGTATCTGTGTATATTTATTTATTTATTT